CATGGCAAGGGGATAATGATTGAGATTGCGTAGTCGCAAGGGAATTAAGGGAATTCTCTATGTCCTATCTCTGAGACGATATCTCCAGCCGAGAATTTTCGGGAAAGATTATAGGAGAAGAATTTATATCTCGAGTAGTGGCAAGGATCCAAATCCAACCCAAGTTGCCCGGCTTGGGGGGACGGGCCGATGGAGATTCAGGCGGCGCCTTCCCTGAGAAGATCGAGGGACCCGGAGCGTAGAATTTTCATTGGATCGTCTTAATAACGTATATGGAGGGGAGAAGAGAAGATCGGGAGGGAATATTTCTGTAGGCCTAAATATACCCCAGATCGTTTCTCATTCATTCATTCATTCATTCAAATTTTATAAAATTGAAATTATTCAAATTTCATTCTGAATTTATTTAATATCATGAATTATCATAAGATCATCGATTGAAAAATCAAAAGGAAATAAAAGACCGGAGAATCCCATATATATAGTTTAATCCGAAATTTAATGAGATAATTTTAGGATATCGTCGCCCGCTGAAAGTCAGAAAAACGAGAAGACGAGACGATAATTGGGGAAATGATTCGCTGGAAAATCTTAGGATGGCATCCCTTGCGATTTAAGATTTGGAGATTTGAATATCTGAAAAATCTTAGGAGATCTCCCTTGCAAATTCAGATTTGGGAACTTGATTCTCTGGAAAGAATCTTAAGGAAATATCCTTTGCGATTTGAGATCTGGAGAGATGATTCTCTGAAAAATCTTAGAAGATATTCCTTACGATCCGAGCTTTGGGGAGATGATTCTCTGGAAAGAATCTTAGGATTCCCCTTAAGATTTGAGATTTATGGAAATGATTCTCTGGAAAAATTTTGGAGGCGCCCCTTACGATTCGAGATTTGGAGATTTCATTATCTGAAAGATTTTAGGAGATATCCTTGCAATTTGAGATTTGGGGATTTGATTTTCCGAACAAAATTTACAGGGACAATAATCTAACCATGAAAGCGGATAATTTGAAGGATAAGAGGCAAATAATCTAAGCGTGAAAGCGGAGAATTTGAAGGATAAGGGGGAAATAATCTAACCGTCTAATCGTGAAAACGGAGAATTTGAAGGGCAAGGGGCAAATAGTTTATCCGTGAAAGCGGGAGAAGCTGAAGGGCAAGGGATAAATAATCTATCCGTGAAATTTGAAGCGCAAGGGGCAAATAGTCAAACCATGAAAACGGAGAATTCGAAGGATATGAGATAAATAATCTATCCATGAAAACGGAGAATTTGAAGGATAAGAGATGAATAATCTATCTATGAAAAGAGAGAATTTGAAGCATAAGAGGCAAATAATCTATCCATGAAAACGGAGAATTTGAAGGATAAGAAATCTAATCCTTTTATGAAAATCGATAATTTGAAGGAGAATAGATAAATAATCTATATATGCAAGGCGGAGAATTTTTTTTATCATAGATATGAATATTCTATATATATATATAGAAGCATATATTTAGATATATAAATATATATATATATGAATATAGATATGAATCTATATATATATAATCATATATATCAATGAAATATCGAATAAATTTCGAAGATCTTCTAGAAGGAAATACGATTCTGAACGAATAATCAACGGATTTTTCAAAATTAAAATGATTTTCTTTAAGATTTTCAGGACGTTCCGCACGAGAACGCGACTTAGAACGAGAAATCATTGATCATTTTATAGTCTTCTCTACCGAGGAGGGTCTTTTTCTTTCAAAATCATCAGGATGAGACCACGATTTTCCTGAAAAAATTGAAGATATTCCGTGCGGGAACGCGATTTTCAAGATGCTTCGCATAAAAAATATATTTCTTGAAAATTTTGAAAATGATCTGCACGGAAATACGACTTTCTTCAAAATTCAAAGGATATTCCGCACGGGAACGCCATTTTTGCCTCAAAATTTAAGATATTCTGCACAACAACATAATTTTCTTCAAAAAATTGAAAAGATTCCGCACGAGAACGCGATTTTTCTCAAATTTTTCAGGATATTCCGTACGGGAACGCGATTTTGACGAGATTATGATCTTCGTTAAAAGAAGACGATCTTGAACGAAATAATTTGCGATAGAATTGACATAGAAATCGTTCTTTAGACGATCAAATTTTGAATGATGAATCCGATCAATCCCATATCAATCTTATATCAAAATATTATCCCAAGAATCTCTTTCTTGAATCCGGAAGATTATCTCCAATGACATTCATTTGATATAAGATTGATATAGAAATATTCCAGATTATCATTCCCAAATGATCAAAATTTTCCGAATATTCCCCACGAGAATATAATTTTGATAGATTCAGATGAAGATAAATCGACGAAATTTCGAAGATATCTCGAACGATAATACGATTTTTCAAGATATGAAAATATTCAAAATGATAAAAATGATTGAATTATTTCGCACGGGAGAATAATTTTTGAAATGAAATCGAGAATTTTGATAGAATCTCGTGCGAGAGCGCGATTTTTGAAAATCAGAACACGATCAATTCGAGATCGATTCTTCCTAATTTTTCTAGGATATCCCGAACGACGATCTAGAAATTAAGAATATCTATTTTATAATCATCTTGCTAAGGAGGGAGGGAGATTGATATAAATCGAACGATCTCCCTAATTTTCAAAAATCGTATTTTCATTCGAGATATCCTCAAAATATTGCTCTCTCATACGAGATAATTCGATTTTTAAAGATCTTTGCATATTTTCGTTTTTCTTCGATAAAAAATATCGATTTCTTGAAGATAGTTTGAGCGAGAACGATTTCTATATCAATATGAATATATCTACCATATTTATCAGATAGAAGCTATCCTATCTAGATAATTAGAATCCGAAAATGCATGCGGAGAATAAATTGCTAGATAGAATATTTTGTTATTAAATGTCATAAACTATTAGATAGAAAATTCGATTATCTTCAAATTTATGAATAAATCAAAATATAAATCATTAAATTCATAATTTCGAGAGATCATCAAATCAATCTCTCTTTCTCTCTCTCAAGCGGGCTCGAATACGATAACCGCCACGCAAGTCATGAGAAGAATTCTCCCAAGCTTCAAGAAATCGCAAAAAAAAAAAAACCGGGATTTTCCCCTTACGCCTACGCACTCATCACCTTGCGGAAATCACCTTCCCCAAAATACTCCAGAAATAGAAAGGGATGACGATCTTAGGGATTTATCGCCGCAACCGCCGCCTTCCAATTGTACATATCCTCAAAAACCCCCTCAACGTCGGCCGGAAGCAAAAACTAGAGAGCAAAAATCAAATAATCAGATAATATCCGACATCATCGGAGAAGAGAATATATAATTTCGTCTCAAATATCTCAGAACGATATTTGTAACTATATATATTCATCATCAAATCATTTACACTAGCAATATTCCGAATCCTCATCCTAGGCCCAAATATTATAGAACCACGAACCTTGGTATGCGCGTGGGTCTGTCCATTTTTCGCAAGATATCGTCCTCTATTATGGCGCTATCAAGAGGATAAGAGACCTAAGATATTTAGAGCTCCGCGTCCAAATGCGCGTTCTTTCCTTATTTATCATAAATTAGATTTTATAAAGATTCGAGGTATATATTCTCGGCATCCAATGCCATTCTAGCATTTGAAAGAGCCCAGCTTGCAGATAACAATTGCCCTCCCATTCCGTATTTATTTCCATTCCATAAAAAATTGCCGAGATAGCGAGTTATCATCCCATCCTATCCCATTCCGTATAAAACGAATATTTGCATAGAATCTATGCTGCCGCCCACGAACTCCCAAGAGAACGAGTGCGCAGAAATTCGAGATCAGATGAATATATTCAAAATTAATTATATCAATAGAAGAAGATAATAATTTCATATATATTAATAAATTATTTCCTATATCATTTGAATGAATTCCTATATTATTGAATTTCGAGATGAATTGAAAATATCAGAATCTTCATTAATCCTATCGATGATAAAATTAAATATATAAATATATAGATAGAGAAATATGATTAATTAAAATAATTGAAATCATTCATCCAAAGAGATTTCATCTTCGAGATAATCAAAGAAATATATGAATAATTCATTAGATAATTATTTCAATATCAAGAAGAAATAGAATGCAGAAAATAAATATATATTTCTGAAATCGATGAATAGATAAATAATATCAATCAGAAGATCAGATATATCCATTTAATTTTTATATGAAGAGAAGAAGATTCCTATATCCAAAAAAGTCATCAATCATAAAATCTTTCATTATCAAATTATATTCAAGATATCGTTTTCAATAATAATTGCAGAATATTTAGCGCGTTGCTCGACGGAAAATTGACGAAGATCAGATTGTAGATTCTTAGCCTGCAGCTCAAAAATCAAGAGCGAATTTCAAGGAGCAAGATATTTCAATGAAATTCAGAAGATTACGAGATGATAGAACTAATTGAAATCAAATTCATTCATTAAATTATTCTGAGGAGATGAGGGATAGATTATGATATGAGGCAAATGCATCTGATGCTAAATTATGATTATCTTCCAAAAGTGCAATGCTTAAAAGGATATAGAGATTGGGAAAATTCAATTGAAATTCAAAAATCTTCGGATAAATTGACCAGAAAATTACGCCTTGAGGGTCTACTTCTTGGATTCATGAACCTGTTATGGAAACCATAAAATTCAGAATTGCAAGCTTCGTATACAAATACGCGGTCTTCTTTCTCATACGAAGATTTCTTGATTTTACGAAGGACGTCCAGCAACCAATAGCCTGATAGCATCTTGCCTTTTTAACTTGCACAGCGGATTCTTCAGGCAAACGCTCGAATTATAACAAAGTTCCCTGAGGTTCCGGAGTCTCTTCTCGCAGAATTCGACTTTAGGCTGCTTTCGGAAAAGCCCAGCTGGCGGCGAGAGACCCCGAATTCAAGAAGCTTGCACATCAGCTTGACATGGATCCCGCCGGGAGCCTGCAGATGAAGTGTGGGTGTGCAGGGACTGCAGGTCGAAACGTGTGTGCAGAATTTGGTGCAGCCAGCACACGTTGGTGGCTTGTAGCTATCTCCCCCCGTTGGGCAGGTTTAGCTGCTTCCGCATCTTAACCCGTATTTGAATCAAGGGTGATGCAAGGGAAAGTTAGCATCACTGTCGCGCGCTGTGCATGCTTGGTGTTACCGTCATGACGGGAATCTGATAGAATGTCTGTTCGACCCGGGCGTTCATCTAAGTGGTCCGCGTGATCACAGGGCTTGTCTCTAAATTGAGCAGAATGGGTGGGACCTCAAAGCAAAATCCTTCCAACGGAAAGCGAATCCAGAATAGACGGAATAGGACGTTAGGTATTGGAAACAATTGCAGGTAGACACTGACGCTGAGGGGATATTTCTCCTGACTTTACCATTCTCGTAAAAGGACTCCACATGATATGGAATCCCCTCTTCCAGAAAGGCTCCCTTCCAGCATCTCCGAAACTCCCCACAGCAAAACAGAAAAGCTGATGCATAAGCAGCAGTGCTGCTACCTGGACTAGCACCAGTAGCAGCAGCAGTCGAAGCTAAAGGCGGCACAAAATGCTTGCAGGTATTGTGGACTGATTACGGCAGCATATGCCATGGCAGCTTAGTTATGCATAGCAGTCACGACTAGGTGAGCTTGCAAGTCCTTTTGCCCACTAAATTTGATGGCAACACTCAAGGTAGCCATACTGACTTGACAGTAGAGCCCTGCAGGACCTAGATTTCTAGGCGACCACGAGTCCTGAGGCTTGGGGGTACTTAATACAGGACATGCGGCCAACAGTACTCGCAGCACTGAAACCACAAACCCAACGATAGAGGCCCGCAAAAATTGCTGACCGAGACCCTCAGCCTTAAACATCCCGATCAGACATTGAGCCCTCAGCTCAGTAAAGCCCAAACCTTCATATCATGACTACTGTAATTACACTCCGGAGAGAGTATGAATTACTCATTTGAGATTTGCCTACTACTAGTACTCTTACGCCTGCTCCTACTGCTACTCCTACTCCTACTGCTTCTACTACTACTACTACTACTACTACTACTAATCCTACTGCTACTGCTACTGCTGCTGCTACAAGCACTGCCAACAACAACAACAGCTACTACTACTACTACTACTACTACTACTGCCAACTACTACTACTGCCAACTACTACAAACAACCATTATTCTCACGAACTACTGACTACTCTGCTCTTACTGATGCTTTTACTAGTTGAGCCATAGTCTAAACTCCTAATATCCCCTTAACAACCCCTAATCATAATAGTCCCCTATTTGATGCCTTTTTAAGGAGTTTAGACCCTATTCTATAACCTCCTTTAAGGAATTTAGACCATGGCTCAGTTGAGCTGGGAGCCCGGCAGAAGCCGACCTTCTGCTAAGCAGCGGTCAATTTCCGAAGCCTTAGGGTTGAGAGTGTTTAGGGTTTAGAGTTACTGATGCTTCTACATATGTCGATATAACCCGACATTCCATTCAATTTGCCATGCGCTTTTCGATTACTGTTCTTTATATCACGTATAATATCCCCATATATACGTACATAAGTCCCCAGTTTCCATTATGGTAATTTCCCCAAATATGGGGACCCCAACATGGACCCTAATATAGGCACCCAAGAAAGTACCTAATTTTGGGAAACCCTATTATGGCCTTAGGATTTCTCAAGATTCTTAGGGTTTGGCAGGAACTATTTTGGGTTTGGGGGTTTGGGTGGAGCTGTTTCTGAATTGATGGGTTGAGCTTCTATGGCTCAACATCGTGCAGCTCAAATAGTACTAATAGTAATAATAGCAATAATAATAGTAATACTAGTAATAGCAAGAATAATCATAGCAATAATAATCATCATAGTAGTAAGTAGTAAAGATCGAGTTTCCAACTGGTGCTTTACATGGAAAACTCATGTTCAGGGGGTGGCAGACTTCATTCTGGACGGCCTCGTTGCTTTTTAAGGGTTTTGGCGGTGTTCACCTGACCTTATGAAGTACTTTCAGGCTTATGGGTAGGTTCAAATGCAGCTATAAACATCTTACATATTGATTGTAATGCAGTCCTACTTGCCGTTGTACTTTTAGGTTCTACTACAACTCTTCTGATGCTGATCTTCACCTTTGCGGTTCAGCACCACGCTACCAGGGTGCGTGTGAAGCTCCTGAACCCTCAAACTGATCTTGAGCTCCTGCCTCAAACTGCAAGCTTGTGCCTGAAAGCGCTGGAAACTCTTCAGCCTGAGGTAGAAACATGAAACATGCGGTTAATGTTATGATCCCAGCGTTGGCCACGCTGACCCCTACCATGATTTCTGCAACATAAAGTTCTGCATGGCTCCCTTGGGGCAGGGAATCCACCACATCCATTGCCCTTGCGTCGCCACCACCAGTTGTATTGCTACTGCTACCACGGCACGGCAAGACTGACAACAGAACTGTTATCGGTACTACTATTCGGGTTGGTATCATCAATATGCCTGTGACCATTTTCGACTTACATTTGCTGTTATTGCTACCCCTCGAATGCTTCGATTACACTACCACTAGTACTCCTACAACCATTGCTAGGCTTCCAGCGTCAGTGCCACCTGGCATAGAGAAGTCGCGGAAGGACTGGAGTGCTTTGCCTCAGTCCAATTAAGCTCGCGATGCTCAAAAACTGTGGCTGCACCGGCACCGATCGCATGAAGTAGTACTGCGGCAGATGAACGTTTCGCGCACTTGCACATCGTCATACAGTTTCTGATTAAACGCCCTTCTCCCGCAGACTTCTCGACCAAGTCCTTTCCGTCTGGAAAGGTTAAATTATCAAGTATATACCTTTGTTTTAGGTGGTTATTCCTCTGCTAGCCCGGCCAATGAAGCGCACTTTAGGTTACCCTATGTTCTTCGTGACATGCAAGGAAGCAAGTGCAACGAAGCTGCAATTCCTGATGATGTAGCAGTGTTAGCAGGGCAGTAGATAGCAGAAGGGTTTAGTGGTAGTGGTAATTTAGTATTTGATCATGGTTGTGGCGGTGGCGGCAGCAGTGTCGTGTCGGTGGCGGTGGCGGTGTCGGTGGTGGTGGCAGTGGCGCTGTTGGCGGCGGCCGCGGCGGCGGCGGCGGTGTGCCATGATGTAGCGATACGTATCACCCTGTAGTTTGTAATCCGCCGACCCCGGCTTGGCGGGTCGAGCGCAAAGGGAATGCTGCTACAGGTAGTACCGAAAAGTCTCGGACATTGTATCGTGCCTAACTACTACTACTACTACTACTACTACCACTACCTCCTGCCATTGAAGCAAAAACGTCCAAGTTCTTGTTCTTACTGGTTTCAAAAGTGACGACGGTGTGCTGGGCGCGCGCCCCCGGGCCTAGGGGCCTCGGCCCTAGGGGCCTAGGGGCCTAGGGCTTAGGGGCCTAGAACCTAGGAACTTAGGGCCTCGCCTGGGTCTAGGGCCTACAGTCCTACAGGCCTATAACCTAGAAAGGGGCCTAGGGCCTAGGCGCCTAGGGCCCCCCACCCCACCCCCCATTCCCAGCCTCGTCAGCCCCCCCCCCCTCCTGCCATTGAAGCAAAAACCCTAGGGCCTAGGGGCAATTAGGGGGTTAGAATTCAGGCGCTAGGCGCCCAAAGGCCCCCACCCCGCCCCCCATTCTCCCGCCCAGCCTCGTGAGCCCAGCCTAACAAAAACGTCTTCTTGTTTTTACTGGTTTCGAAAGTGACGACGGTGTGCCGGGTCTAGGGGGTCTAGGGGCCTAGAATTTAGGGCTTAGGGCCTAAAAGCTTAGGGTCTAGCTAGCTAGTAGGGTCTAGGGCCTAGGGGCTTAGGGCCTAGGCAGCCCCCCCCCACCGCGCCCCCCATTCTAGCAAAAACGTCCTAGTTCTTGTTTTTACTGGTTTCAAAAGTGACGACGGTGTGCCGGGCGCGCGCCCCAGGGCCTAGGCCCTCGGGCCGAAAAGTCTCGGACATTGTATCGTGCCTAACAACAACAACAACTACTACTACTACTACTACTACTACTAGTACTAGTACTACTACTACTACTACTACTAATACGACTACTACTACTACAGAAGCAAAAACGTCCTAGTTCTTGTTCTTACTGGTTTCAAAAGTGACGACGGTGTGCCGGGCGCGCGCCCCCGGGCCTAGGGGCCTCTAGGGCCCCCCACCCCACCCCGCCCCCCCCTCCCAGCCTCGTCAGCGCCCCCCCCTCTTTTGGGGGCCGGGGTGGGGGGCCCTAGGCGCCTAGCCCTCGGCTTGTAGGAGGTGTTAGGGCCTGGGTTGGACCCCCGAATCTTTAGGCTGTTAAGCCCCTAGGCCCCCCCTAGGCCCCTAAACCCTTTTTGAAGCCAGTAAAAACCATTCTCCCGCCCAGCCTCGTGAGCCCAGCCTCGTCAGCCCCCCCCGCTCCTGCCATTCAAACAAAAACGTCCTAGTTCTTGTTTTTACTGGTTTCGAAACTGACTGCCGGGCACGTGATTTTCTTCGCGCGCCCCTGGGGGCCTAGGGCTTAGGGGCCTAGGGGCCTAGGGCCTAGGGGCCTAGGGTCTAGGGGCCTAGAATTTAGGGCTTAAGTACATTCTAGGCCTCCACTCCTCCACTAATTCCTGGCATTGAAGCAAAAACGTCCTAGTTCTTGTTCTTACTGGCCTAGGCGCCTAGGCCCTAGGGGCCTAGGGGCCTAGGGCTTAGGGGCCTAGAACCTAGGAACCTAAGGCCTAGAGCCTATGTTCTTACTGGTTTCAAAAGGGAGCCTAGCGGCCTAGGGCCTCGGGCCCTAGAACCTAGGGGGCCCTAGGCCCTAGAGCCAAAGGCCGAGGGCTAGACGCCTAGGGGCCCCCACCCCGCCCCATTCTCCCGCCATCGTCGTCACTTTTCGAAACCAGGCTGGGCTCACGAAACTGGGCGGGTTTTGGGGGCCTAGGGCCTAGGGGCCTAGGGGCCTAGGGTCCCCCACTCCTGCCATTGAAGCAAAAACGTCCTAGTTCTTGTTCTTAAGGCGCTAAAGCCCTAGGGCTCACTACTACTACTACTACTACTACTACCACTACCTCCTGCCAAGGAAGCAAAAACGTCCTAGTTCTTGT